CGTCAAGAGCATAGCATATGGCACATCAATATCACTTCCTGTTTGTTATCCATGTGTGTATGTAGTATCTATAATGCCATAAATTTGAGTAGGTGTGGCTATAAGACTGTTGACTATTCACTTTAACTGTGTATCGCTGTTTTATCCAAGTTACTTTTGTTGGACCTTGTTTAATAATTGAGGTAAAATTGAATGTTTCTAACACAGATGTATGATGTATCTATAGAAGATGCCAAAGACACGAGCTAAGACAAGAAAAGTTGACAGGAGGACCCTAAGAAAAGAAAGATTTCATCATTTGGGAAAGAAAAGTTGGGAAAAGGTATGATTTCATGTAACTCTGTGTGTTAGTTAAGCATAGCTAGTGGATGGGAATGGTCTATAGAAGAGTTGCAGGGGAAGTACATGTAATTAAGTAGAGCAGTACCCTTTCCTATAAGCCTATGGCGTGGGTGAGGGCAATAACGAGAGTTGTGGCTCATTGTCAATCATCTTAAGTGGAATTGAAGGAAAAGTCTTGTTATGAGATGAAGTAGTACTATTAATAGCAAGCCAAACAGCTATTTTACTTATTGCATGACTCCTGAATGGATAGACTTTTTGTAACTTGTAGCATCACTTCACTTGTTGCTACAGCTAAGTCTTTGGTTGTTTTATACTTGTATATCTAATTGCCATCAGCTGTTTTGCAAATGTTTTTGAAGCTTTTGTGTAACTTGGGGAATGTCTGTTTTTTACGATCGGTAGAGTATGTCACTAAATTTTAAAACCATGATTATAGAGGAAGGAAATAGTGTTCAAATGCACTATTTCCTTCCTACATAATGGTGTCACTAGGAACTATTATACACATATACAAATTGACCTATCTATGTAGGCAGAAATTAGTACCAAGCACTATTTTGTCCTTACAATATTATAGGGAAGAATTGCACTATTTTGTTCCTACAATACTTAAGGGAAGAATTAATGCATGCTACACTATTTTGTCTCTATAATACTATGGGGAAGAATTTGTGCCTTCTGCACTTTTTTTCATAATGTAACAGCACTTTGTTTCCCTCACATACTGTAGTGGAAAATTTTGGAGGGAATTGAAGTTGGTGAACTTGGCATTTTGATAGCAAAACTCCAAAATAAAATCCACCATTTCAAGCCATTATATGCATGCTCAATGGTATGTGACCACAAATTTGCCAAATTAAAATTTGCCAATTCCCAAAATATAGTAATTTGCCGAATTCAACTCCCTCCAAAATTTCCTGCAATATGGGATAGCTACGCAACATTTATTTGGTCACCTTTAGCATTCCACCATGCATTTTGCAAGTATAATTAGCTACATAGACCAATACAACATTAAATAACATACATTTGTTAACTTGTTTGTAATAATCAATGTAGTTGGGTAACATATTCTAATACATTGCATCTTGATTTTCATGTCATAGATGGGAATGGCCTGTAAAATATGTTTTTGAGACCATTCATCATGTGTTGTCTCATGTGTGACTG